GCGGTGCCCGGGGCCGGTGCGGGGTGAGCGCAGCCGCTTACCATGTCGCCTGCGCCCGGCGGCCCCTCGCGCTGCGGCGCCGCCCGCGGGGAAGAGGCGGCCGGGAGGGAGGAAGGGAGGGAGGGAAGGCGGCGGCCGCCGCGCAGCCCGCAGCGCCGCCTGCCGCCGCCCCGCGAAGGAGGAAGCGAAGGAGGGAGCGGCGCTGGGGGGAAACGCTGCAAACGGCGGCGGTGCGAGCGGGCGCGGCAGCGAGACGCCCGCGGGCCTGGAGGAGGGCACTGGAGAGGCGCGCGGGAAGCGGCCCTTCCCGAAGGCTGCGGCCCTTCCCGAAGGCTGCGGCGTGAGCAGGGCAGCTGCGGGGCTGCCGGCACGCGCCCGCCGCTCGCGGAAGCGGGAGCTGGGTGCCGGGCTGCGCGCCCACGGCCTGTCACCGGCAGCGAGCGAGCCGCTCTGGCTGCGGGGGACCTCAAGATACACGCAACCATTTTGGCCGTACCCTGCTTACGAAATACCTGAGAGATCGCGCCGTCATTTTTGTGCAGAACACAACTATCTCGGGAAGGCAAAAGGTGGAAACTGGCTGTTTACGGCCACATTTTCCTGGTAAACAGCAGTGTTTCCCATTCTCCACATCTTGCCTGTCTGATTTTGCTTGTTGTCACAGGGAGCTTTTGCTGTAATACAGGCCCAAATAAATCCCCTTGTATAATGCTGAACTTGGGAGCAGATATACAACATACTGCAGTAAATTCCACACCAGAAAGCGCTTTTCTGAGGCTCAGTGAAAAACAGTGTTGTGGTAAGGTTGTCTTCAGGAAAAAGAAAGGCCTCAAAGCCCAGCTGCTGTAAGAATCTCTTCTTATGTGAGTTCCCAATCACGTTGATTCTCAAAAGAATTCAGCTTTGGAGAGTTGACCAGCAACCAGGAAGACAAAGCCACGGTCTAAAAGGAAAGTTAACATGGGCTGAATGATCGCTCGTGTAGTTAGGGCTGGGCTGAGCTCCCCGGCCAGCTCCTTTGGCTTCCCGCAGTTTCCATGTGGTTTCCTGCAGCAGCAGGTCCCGGGAAGCCAAGGCCCTCGCCAAAGGGTCCTGCRGTTCCACAACGCAACGAAAACTCCCGTGACTCCTCATCCCAGCACCGCAATGGCCGTGACCCTGGCCTGGACTTCAGGAGGACGGGAGAAGAGGACGATGTTCCGGCTGCCCATCCCCTTCCCAACAAGGACCCATGGCTCTCTTTCCTCTGCCTCTACATGCAAGTTAGACACCCATGAAACAGTTACAGGATTCCTGCCTTGTGACCTATGGAATCCAGGTTTCCTTTCGGAAACAAATCCCCACCTCTCTGCATTACTGGGATATTTTTAGGGACAGTAAATATGAGGCACATGAAAAATAAATCCTCCACCATGAGAATAACAGAGGAAACAAGCTTTATTATTTGAAATTTTGTGCGTGGTAAAGGTACATATTTGACTCTGGTTTGCCTACATTTCCAAGACAGTAAATTTTGTTTTTTTATCATCGGCTAAAGCATTGAAAATACCGTGGCACACATGAAGCTAAAACTACCCCCCCACACACAAACACTTCGATGCACGTCTTTGATCCTTGACCTTAAGGAGGCAAAGTTTGTATTTAGCCTCCCTGGGGTTAGAAAGGAAGGAAAAATAGAAAAGAAAAAGAAGAAAGGAAGAAAAACAAGTGGCAAAAATATTTCCTTATCAGTTTTCAGACAGTGAAAGACATACACGTACACTAAACATATGGAATTGACACAGATGGAATGTACAAAAACTTCTTAAAAAGATAAAAAAAAAAAAGAGACAGAAAGACGGACTCCCGGAAGAGGCCAGCTCCAGTGTGTCAGCTGGTAAAGATGCCTAAGCCAGGGGCAGTGCAGGAGCATTCCCGTGTCCTGGTGCCACAGCAGGAGTGCCGGGCAAGGCCGTGTCGCTCCCCAGCATCACGCGAGGGCTGCACCCCCATCACAAGCACCACCGCCACGCGGGCACCCGCCGGCTCCAGGGCACGCGGACCTCTCGCGCGCACACGCTCCACGACCACGCCAAAGCAATCCCTGCGCACCGTTTCCGGAGAAGGTTTTCAACATACATCACGACTCCGTGACGAGCTGTCACCCACCACTGCAGGGCCCTTCTCTCTAACAAACACGACATCTTGGGCACTTGTAGTTCTCAATATGGCAACACTAGATCCTTAGTTATAAAAAATATTGACGTAAAGTTGAAAGCCCTCTAGCTTTTACAGAACAGTATCTACCAATAAATAGCTCTCCATCTACATTAAACAAACACTTCCCTTAGGCCATTTTCATTTTGTTTTTCAACTATGCTGCTATTTCAACCAGTGTAAAATCCCCCCACTGTTTGCATTGGATTTAACTAAATGGATCTTTTTATCGTATTCAAGAAAWAACAAAAATACAGTTGGCTAGTTTGTCCTAAAATACCCCAAATTACACAAACTCTGATAACCTTTTGAGATGAGTTTTGAGCTGGAGATCAGTTAAATGGTGCAYGCCCCTTCACCGTTCAAGCTGTGCCACTGGCCAGTTAGCATTCCCRGGAAGTTGGGGGACATTGGATTATACCTGAAATTTAGGCATTCGGTGCCCATAAAGCCTTTAGTAGATGCTAACAGCTCAGTAAAGCAAGTAGTGCAATTCTCACGTTCCCTTAACGAGATGCAGAAGGAATCTGTCAGTTTTCGAGACGAGGGTTGCTGCTTTGGTCGCTCCCTGTGAGTTCTGTAAGCCAGGCATTTTAGCCAAGTTGGCTTCAGAAGCACCCTGTAAAAGCAGTGCCTTTCCCAGGCTCTCTGTGCCAGGCACACAAGGTCARCCTTTGCAACCAGGGAATGCCCTGGACCACTGAATTCCCAATTGTAATTGGCAGCATTTGCAAGGGGGAATTCCAAATTAGTGCCCTTTTTCAGCTGCAGCGAGTGCTGCTCTGGTGATCATGGCTGAAACTGCAATGAGATGAAGAAAAAAATCCCTTCAGTTTTAGGAAGGGCCCCCATCCTCACTAGTGTCTGTTAGTTTGGGTGCCGGGGGGTTGTGTGGAGAGTTCCTCATTTCATCAGGATGCAGTGGGCAGCGCTTAGGGAAAATGAGGACTCCCCCTGAGTCCAAGAGGGACAAAACCTTTTGCAGGAAAACGTACACATGGACTAGTGTAGTCCTAGGTGTGGGTTTTGACATAGAGCTGAGGGTCTGGTTCCTGTGGTCCTCGGAATTCCTGGCGGTGGAGGATTTGGCCTTRTTTCTTGTGTGGAAACCATTCAAGTTCAGTAAAATACTGTTACAGAAACCCAAATCTGGAACCCAAGTTGATTAATAGTACCCATAACTAACAGCAAGAGCACACTTCTGGTCTGCTTTTAACAGGCTACCTCAGAGACTCTGTGCAACATTTTTTCTCCCTTAATAAATACAGTGAAAATGTTACCTATCCTTTTCATTGATAAATACATAATTTAAGGGCCTTTAAGTCAGAAACTCTACGTGTGTCAGAAGGTTGGTTCGTAAGGACACTTACTAGACAATTATTTGATGGCCATAAAATTAGATTTGCAGTTTCACAAAACTTTGAGAGGACAGTATTTTATGCAATAAATACTGAGGTGACTCTGTCTCCTTCAGAATCTTAGGACAAACTCACTTCAAGCAGAAGATACTTTGTTCTCTTTGTAATAACAGACTTGATTTTTTACATTTCGAAAATATTACCACCAGCTTCTTAGCCACGTTGTATGGTCCAAACCACAAGCCTTTTACACAAAACAATTATTCCAATGAAGTAATGACAATTGTCTTGAAAAAGACATTTACAGACAAAAAAATTGTCTGTAAAATCGGTTCTATAAGCAAAAAATAACATGGGAAACAGAAGGAAATATTTCTAAGAAATAGYAATTAAGAACAAACAAAATAAACCAGACAAACTCCACATGTATGAATTTCAGAGTCTGCATTTTCACAAGTCAAACACATCTTTACAGAAAATCATTAGCTTTTCCTCAAATTCATTGAAACCATCTTAACCTTTTAGAAATAAGACAAATATTTATAACAAGTAATCTCACAAAAATTTCTTCCAGTTTTGCAGACATGCTTAAAATACTGCCCTGGTCCTGGTGCAATGTCCTTGTGTTTAAACTCCCTAAAAAGTAGAAAAGAGAGATTCTTCTTCCCAGACTATTTCAGGCATCGGCAGCAGGCCAACCAGCTCCTTAGGTGAGGTCTAAGAGTAAGCACCACTCTGGGTTAGGTTATGGTAGCAATACATCTTTGACCAGCAGGTTTAGAATTAAYAATAAAACCAATGCTATTTTAAAAAAGACAAGTAAATAATTAAAAAAACACATTAAAAATAGAACCAAGTAATATGATTGTAACATGATGTCCAGTTAAATTAGTATTTCAACAAAGAACATAGTAGAGATATCCGGCAGGAAGAGGAAGGGACATTTTTCAGAGTACTGCCATTATCAAATGGCATACGTATGTTCCACTTTGCTGAAATAACCTACATTTACTTTGTTTTTGCATCCATCAGCCATACATACATACAWACAAACAAACAAACAGGAATAAATCTTGCAGTCCTTATTTTGTTCTCTAACAAAATTCCCTTGGTGAAGGACTTTGGGAATTGGTTCAAATTCATTCTTTCTCATAATGTATTTTTTTTCCCCTCATGTTAAAAACAAATAGCTTTGGTAACCCTTGGCTTTCTTATACAACCCCTGTTAACCACAGTCCCTTTGGTTGTATAACGTAGGTCCTCCATAGGGGTACCTCTCTGGCTTTCTGTCCTGTGAGATGCGGCATCTTATTTGTTCATACAATGAGTTGCCTTGAGGAGATATGGCAACAAACACATACAGAAGAGTGGCACACACGAGGTTAATTGAGCTGACATTGTAATAACCCTGATCCTAATGAACTAGGTTGGTGTCAAAAGGTCTGTCGTTCTACAGAAATTCAGCTCTCGCTAATGCATCTTTACAATTAAGGTTTTCCAGAGCTTTAGAAATGTCAGGTCTCTGCAAAGTCCTTACAGCACATTAAGCAAGAGGAGGAGTGAAAAATAAGCACATGGAACGATCCTTCATTCACCCCACACGATGAGGGAATTTGCATTGATTCTCATAGTGCTGAACGTCGAGCTGAGTTAGGTGTGATGGTTCGAGCTAGACGGATTTTGCATGACTTAGCGTTATACCTGTGCTAAAAGGACCTACTTGTTAGAGTTATTAAGACTGAAGAATGTTAAAAGTGTAATACCTACCATGATAATCAGATCTAGATTTCCAGGATAATGCATAACAATGACACTTCTTTTCAAATTTGGAAGCTCTAAACAGGAGCTACCCTTTGCAGTCTTCAAAAAGCTTTGGGGATTTTTTCTCCCCCCCAAAATTCTCATATGCCCAATTAGTTAATTCCAGTTCCATAAGCTGCAGCCTGTGTTTAATATCACATTGTCCTTATGAATTCAGCTAAAGAGGATTCTGTGTGTTAACCCAAGAAAAAGTTCAGTGAGGAACATGAGAGGTGCAAGTYCTATGTAAACAAGGTAAGTTTGGAACTTAACACGAGAAGCCCGTAAGAGACTCCTCCGTTATCATAAACAAACTCATTGCAGTAGGAGACACCCTGCGTTGGCCCTCCGGGACCAGTCTTTCCTTAGGGAGGGATGCTGATCCGGCTCCRGAGCTCACGGTTACTGTAAGTATCGATAGACCTTGAAGCAGTGATTCCCAGAGTCTGCAACTACCACGTGGCCGTCTGAAGTGAGGGCCAGACCTTGGGGGCCATAAAGGGGGTCAGCAGAGGTGTTGATGTAGGATAAAAACGATCCACTTCCATCAAAAACCTTTGAAGGGGAGAAAGCACACAAGAAATGTTAGGAGTAAGAAAAATAGTGGACAAAATTCTGTTTTCAGTTATACTGTTATAATTCTACTTTCTGAAGCTGTTGGCACACACTAGAATAAACAAAGGTAGAAGCTGATCTGCTGTTTTCATAATATGTGAATGTATATGCAAATATATTTCCATATTAAAAATAACTTAAGGCAACCACAGCCTTTTTCAAGAATTAAGCATACAATAAAATAACAATAAAAAAACACATCAGTCGCTCCTTGCTCTAAAAATAACCAACTGTGAGAAAYCAAACTTCACCAGGAGCTCAGTCAACACCCTGTCTTCCTAACAAACACGGCTGTCGTGGCTAGTGTGACTCTCCTAGGTTCCCACACAGAGAAAAACAGCATTTGTTTTGACTGCTGACAATGGGCCATGAGAACAACTCATCAGCTCACTCGTGTCTATATTCAGTGAAACTAACATGTAAGGTTATTTGTTTATTAATATTCTYTGGCAAGTGAGGAGGGACTTTGTGATTAGCACTTGAAAGATGAAAAGACTCAACTCTAACAACATGAAAGCAGAATATTCTCTCAGCATTTAAAAGATGATGATAAAAATCTGCTGCATTTGCCTCAGGGTCTGAACAGATCACTGGCTTTTTTTTTTTCTTTTTTTTTTTTTTTTTTTTTTTTTTTTTTTTTTTTTTTATTTTTTTTTTTTTTTTTTTTTTTTTTTATTTTATTTAATGTTTTCTACCACGTCTCCAATCTTCGTTATGGTGATTATAGATTACTATGGTCTCAGCAGTGTCTATAAGTCTCCCAGGTTCTAATAGCTTCTGGGGAAATGTTTGGAGTCAAAAGCCTCCAAGCGCCAGTAAAAATCAGACTTGTTAGCAGTCACAAGGAGAAGACCACAGTCTGACACCACCTCTCCTAAAAGCAGACAGAGCAGCAAGGAGAYGTACAAAGAACTGCAAAAAAACCCACACACGGCTTCTACTGCTGCTAGTCTGCTTCTTAGGAAAACTGGTCATCAATTCACTGAGTTTCCTAATCAAGCACCTTCGAAAAATGCAAATGTCTACCTGTATCCTGCTGTTTCCCCAATCTGCTACAATAATATTTCCATTAGAATCTACAGCTACTCCAGTTGGTGCGTTAAATTGTCCATTTCCTTCTCCATTTGATCCAAACTTTAGTATGAATTCTCCCTCTTGGTTAAATACCTGTATGGATTAAAAAAAATATATAGTATTATGTCAAATATTCCTAATCATCTACTACTACTTGACCTATTAACACAACTGGGAACTGAGAGTTCACAGGAACAACCTCACACACATATACCTCCTTCTAAGGGTGGGTATTTCTCACATTCACTCATTTTAGGAGTGCTTAGCAGAGTGATAAAYTTAATTTGCAAACAAAAGCAAGTAAGCTTGGAGCAAGGGTCACTTATATCCACATTTCCAAATAGTTCACAATTTACCATTTTGCTATGTTTAAGCACTTGAAATCTTTATGAAATTTTGAGTTATGAAGAAGACAGAACATCAGACAAGAAAAGAGTGCAGAATTCAGCATTCTGCCCTCCGTGTGGGTCGTTCAGCAACTGCATCTGCTGTGATGGTGGATGTCAAGTTCAGACAGCAGAAAATGGAATCAACCAAGGAATGTTCTGTCAGCGATCGAGACACTGCTGTGGCCAAGTGACAGAGGACAGACAATTCACAACACATCGTAGCTTTCTGCATCACTTTGGTCCATCCTGGGCTCAGGTTCAGCTGTACCACAGGGTCCAAAGGGCATTCTTAGCCTGTGGCCTGCCCAAGGAAACACAAGGATCTGAGAAGTGCTAAGCGTTCCCTGAAGTGCTCAGACAGCAGATGTGCGGAAACCATCCTCTTCCAGAATACCCAAGGGGACCAAGTTATTTGGGGTGGGAAGGGAAATTATGCTGGTGCCTCAAATGATGAAAAAATGTGCAAAGAGGTCAACTGAGAAAAAAAAGCACAGAAAGATGCTCACTCTCTTCATGGGTTATAACGTGGATGGTCACTGAGAGAACAAGGGAGAGGCCTGCACCGATTTTCCACAGGGGATGCGTGAAGGATGAACRTGATTGGAGGTTGAAAGGGCAGAGAGGAAAAATTTGCCAAGTGATGATGTTTCATTCAAAGCAGAAGAGGTTTGGGAAGCCGTCACAGCGACCTGAGGGCCCAAAACTTACTCTCTGCTTTCTCCCACTACTATCTAGAAAAAGATAATGGGCCTCATCCAGTGTGAAAATAACTCTCCAAAACATACACAATTATCTGGATTTGTATTAGAGAACACTATAAAAATAAGAAGCTTTTCCAGTGAGAACCAAATTGGAACAAATAACATTTTTATCCCACTGAGTCAGCCCAGAGACAGATGGGAACGCTCTGTTCTCATTAGAGATGGAGTAATGGTAACTGGACTAAGATGCCACACGTCTTGCAGCTCTGCACTCGCTTTTGTTCCTGTAGGTTGCCCTCATTACAGGCTCTCCCCAGGCGCTCTTGTTAGCGCAGGAAGCCCTGTTGGCGAGGGGGTAATTTATGGATTCAGGGGCCTCCTGCTGCTCTCCCACGTAAACACTCCTGCTCAGGGCTCCTTTCTTTGTTGTAACCCAGCCCGCATGAACTGCCACTTCCTCTCCAATCCCGAAGGCACAGATAAGCAAGGTCACCATTCAGAAGCGAGATGATTCAAGGCCAGCATCGCGTCTGCCGCGGATGGGGGTCAGCATTGCAGTCACGGGTGCCGCCGAGGGGCCTGGGGCATCGCTCAGGGRCARCCCACTGCGTGCACCRGCTCCCCGATGGACGGATGGMTGGACGGACAGGGAGCTGCACGTGCTGCAAGCCCCACGCACAGGTGGGTAACAGCTTCCGCACGGCCCCTCGCTCCCTGACACACACGCACGAGGAACAGGGCTTGCCCCAGTTCTGATTTGCTACTGGGGCAAACAAATACACTGGTGTATCCCCCCAGGACTGTGTAACGTGCTTGGAGTCTTGAGGACCTTCCGTAAGGGTGAGGCCAGTTCTGCTCGGTGCAGGGGTCACTGAGTGAAAACTGACAGTCTGTGTCACACACACACGTGTTAAAACTATTGGGTTTAAACAGATCCAGTAATCTTAAACCTACAAAGAYGCAACTAACTTCACTTTGTTATACTTGTATTCAACTAGAGGTGRGGGAAGGTTTTCCTGAAAAAAATCTAAAACGGGTATCAGACTTTCTTAAAATAAGGAGGAGCATATGGGCAAGTAACAGGGTTAGCAGAGGGTTCATAGCAAGTCAGTTGGTATTATAGGTCTCAGCTACAAGTTATGGTTTAATCAGTTGAATTACAGAACACCATGGGAGCACCAAAGCCAACTAATTATATCTCCATTGAGCAATGTGCTGCCTGCAAAGGTCTCTGAACACAGAGTCCTCATGTGGAAAATCATCTTTTGTATCAGGCCTCATTGCTATACAGCATTACCTCTCCTTTTTTTTCTTAACAATCTCTTTGTTTTTTGCTGCCCCCCAGGGAAGAAACATGATAAAACAAGAAGCTTTCCAAACAGGCATTAAATGACAGTACCTTGACAGAATGGTTATGAAAATCTGTAACAATAATTTCATTGTTGCTGTTTACAGCTGCAAAATGAGGACCTGCAATGCAGAAGAAGAAAAATTATACTATTAAATCAAAAGCATTGCTTAAATATAAAAATTATTCAGCYTGTCAGAAGTTTATGGTTGACTTCTGATCAATAATGGTCAAATTGGGAATGCCAGTTTTAAATCCAAAGAGCTTTTTATTCCATGTTTCAAAAGGTCAACATGTCTTTTTGAAAACATGGATCATTTTGTTTTCARTCCTTCAGCAGACAGTGTTATCAATCAGCATTGGTCAGTCCTTCCGCTCCCATATACAGATGACCATATAAATATTTATAGACTCATTAACAAGACAAAACAGGTAGTGCTTAGGGATRCATTTGTACACCTATTGAAAAGAGTTTTCAAAATATAAAGTTTTAAAAGAAAACATCCATGCTTTGTGTATTTACTTCTCACAAACATTTCAGCAAACAAATTTTGGTACAGACATAAGTTAGTTTCTTCTAAGTCAGCTTCTAAGAGTCTGAGAAACAGTTATGAATATCCTTAGGAGAAAATGTTCATTTTTTTGTTTCGCTTTTTATATTGAACTATGTGAACAAGCTGAGTAAAACRTGAGTTGTAACCTGAAAACAGACARGAACCTGCTCAACAGACATGTCCCTCTTTTGACTTGCTAAAATCAGAATGAATCAGGCTGCAGTTTCCACAGCAGAATACAGAATACAAAAAGGGTGAAAATCTTTGCACTCAAATCTTCATGTAAAGACAATTCACCTGCTTTAAGCAGTCTGTCACCAAGACGATATGATACTTTCCTCAAAAATACTATTACAGAGCACACGTGTTTTCATGAGGTATTAAAAATTTTTAAATGAAGAAAAGGGGGCATAGGCAGAAAACTTTGGTGACATTTAGCTGTGTTGAAGCCAAAGCTCTCATAAAAGTCATGCTTGTGTCACACACGTTGCAAGAGACCTCAAACAAGATTCGAGCAGTGTACAGCTACMGCTCATCCTCCTTCGTGCTATCAGGGCATCAGACCAACTTATACTGCCTCATTCAAAGTGACCAAACACCTGCAAAGTGATGTGCTTAGCTGATTTGGCAACTTCATTTCCAATTCTGAAAGCACGGATATTTACACAAAATATGTATCGTTTTTTACCTAATTTCTGAATTACCTAATTACCTAAMATACCTAATTCCTTGTTCTTACTGAATTGCACCACGGGCAAGCACTCAGTTAAACACATAGGTGGCAATTTCCCCAAACTGTCTTTTTCCATATGCATAACTCTGTCTTCCTGATATTAATCTTAGCACTGTCATATTATGCATATTTTCTAATAAGATGATGCTACTTAGGGCATTCCTTACTGGGTATACGATCCCTGGAAACACAAGCACTGTTTATTAGCATTTACAGATGATGTATAGATTACAAACCATTTCTAAAATGCTATTTAAGATCAAAAGGTCATTGAGTATTAACCTGAAACCCTTCCAAGAACAGAGAGGTGGATAAGCAGGCTGGCTACAGCTACGTTTGAAGAACAGAGCTTTCAGTCTTCCTCACTAGTTAAATAAATGGTGAATAGCCATACGTGTAATAGACCTCTCCTGCCTCCAGGAAAAGGACGAGTAGGATACGGCATCTCCAAAGTGCTCAAACACGAGGCAAATGTGAGCAGAAGAGGCAGGAAAAGGCGGGGGGGGTTACATATTACCAATCAGCATACCTGCAAACTGCTTGTCGCCGTTTCCTCGGCTCCCAAACCGGGTAACTATTTTCCCATTCGGCTGGAAGATGAACACGCAGCAGGCTTTGTTGTCCACCACTATGATGTGCCCATTGCGATCCACAGAAACACCTTTAGGACCCATGAGTTTTCCAGACCCAATTTTGGCCTAAAAGGGAAAGCACAAAACAGGAAAAAATGTTGACACAACAGAAATAAGTTTGTACAGCTCAGACACCTGCTGCAATATGGGAACACCGTGGGATGGAGTGAAATTGTGTGATCGGGASTTTGCCAGCAGAAGTCACTGCTTTTATCAGCTTTTTTCACACTTTGCCATTTTCCCTTCATCTGCAAAGAACGAAGGCTTTCTCCATGGCCATTGGCAGAGCAGAAAAGCCACCACCTCAGCAACTGAGGAATCCAAATATAGAGCTGAGGAGTAACACAACCATGGGAACTGTGTGCTTGTAAACCACAGCATGTGTCAACAACCATCACAAACGGTGTACTGCCTACAGGAGAGGCCAGGCTGGAGGTACCAGGAGGGAAAGCAGACACCAAGGGCCTCCGGATACCACCTTGCTGGTGAAAGCAGCCAGAGCTGCCTCTCCATGCAGCGAAGCGAGGTGGGATGTGGTAATGATGCTGTGTTCTGCAGCCTTTCTTGGGCAAACACGGCACCACGCAGCTCCCAAGCACTCTTGGAAGGAGTCTGAGCAGAGCTGATGCCCGGGTTAACCTCAGCACCTTCTGCCAGACCCATCTGAGATGTCAGATATTGTTTAGACGTATGAGGTGATGGTTGAAAACTACACGGGAGATAAGGCTGCGCTGGCAAGCTGCAAAGAAAGGCATCTTTGAAACACTGAAAAAACAAGGTTYGCTTCAGTCTTACATGCAATATAGGCCTTGTGACCACCAAAACCAGCTGCCAGTATAATTAGCGACAAGAAGGTAAATAATATTGCAGCAATGAAAAGCCTCCAGAGAAAACGAGGTGGATATCACATGCAGTGAGTTAAGCGGAAAGGTTTGAGAACTCTCCAAACAAATCAGAAAATGTAAGAAGCATAATGCCCAGACACTGAAATAAGCTACTTAGCCTATTCTGCATGTATAAATGGCTATGTATAACTTTATATAAACAGGCAATACATGAATGAGTGTATTTACACATATGATTAATCAGCATGCGTGTATGTATGTGTTATGACAGACTGACTGGAGACAGATGATTAGGCTAAGTTTTAGCCTTCCTCTCCTCTTCCTTCTCTTAGCTATTTTTCCTTTCTGCACCTAGACATGAGACTACTCAGCAAAATCTTGTGGTTTGAGTTTAGTTCACACCTGCTTTCTACTCTGGTCACCAACTGCAGATCGTTCTCCAGGATGAGGAGCTGTGGGAAACGCTCCGGACTGCACCTCAGGCCCTTGCAGATGAGAGCAGCGGGAGCTCGGTGGGAGGACGAGCTCGTCATTGATCTCACTCGCTGTAACCCCTACACTATTGGAAGCCTTGTCATCATTACGGTGATGAGTACAGTATAACTGAAAGGGGGTTGTGAACAGACTTTTTCCTCACCTGCAGGCGACTCCTGATTAAAAAACTGCAGCTAGAACAGAAGCAGCAAGTATTAGATGACTCTTTCTGAACACAGGATCTGCAAATAGCAGCTGCAGTCACAACAAGGCTTCTTCCAGAAGGGCACGAGTGGCCACCACCTGCCTAGGTAGGTGCTTTGATTGCTTCACAGAAAGCAGCATGAAGGGAAGGGGATATAAAAGTAAGAGCCATCAAATCCCACGCAGTCCAGGGCAAGCAAAGACTGGGGCAAAGCCTTGGCAGAACCGTGAGCTGTCCAGGCATCCCTCCACAAGATGATAGGATCAGCTCCCAAACTTACTCCCGTTTTGCACTGATTTGCTTTGTTTTCAGCCAGAGGCTCTAGAAACAGGTTTAACTACATAAAATCAGTTGAGTTTTGAGCTTTCAGCCAAGAAAGGGTTGTAAGAATAGCAACAAATTACTTGGGCTTTGGACTGTGGCAACTTGTCTTTTCTTCCCTTTGTGACGGGCAGATTTTGAAGCAGTTAAAGCTGAATCCAGGCTGAAATATCTGGTCGAAATACTTGGTGTCTGCCAGGCTATTTACTTCTCCAGATAGATCTGTCCATGTTGAAGTAATGGATCACAAAGCTGCCCAATCCTATAGTAATTTCTATAAATAAATAAGTAAATTCTATAGCCCATCCTGCCAACAGAGCCCATTCCTTTGGTAGAGAACACTGTTTCCTATTCCAAATCTGAATTTAAACCAAATAGATAGTAAAATGCACCTCAGTCCATGACTAACAACCTCAAGGTAGAAGAGGCTACAGGGCATGGAGAAGACCTATTACCTCCCTCCTACTAATTCTCAGGACGTTTCAAAGCCACCAGCCATGCAAATGCTTGAAGCAGCTCAACCAGCCCAAGTGAACGCCAGGCTCCTACTTCCCGGGGCGCTTTCCCAGCTGGAGCTGCGGGCGCAGACGAGGAGCCGTCACCCGAGGCTGCCGAGGGCCCTTGAGCTGCCTGCTCTCCTGCCCAGCTGCTTCAGTCTGCAGGACTCCAGGGAGCAAAGCCTGCAGCTGCGAGACTCTGCTTGGCTGCCATGCAAAGATCCTCCGTCTGTCCATGTTCAGGTATATACTTTATATATATATATATATATATATATATATATATATATATATATGCACTCTTGCAAAGAGCTGAATAGGTAGGCAAAAATCGCACAATCAAATCCCACCAAAATACCCTTGGGCAAATGATCAGAAGTGACTTTCTGCTCACCAGTGGAAAGATACGAGGAGACCCACAAAAATGCATTTGGGTTTGCACTGCAGCAAGGCAGGAAAACCATAAACCAAATGCAAATCAGAACATTTATTTCCTCTGGGGTTATTAAATGATGTTCCTGTCTTTCCTCCGGGATGCCCATGTGTTTGTCTGCTTGTGCATTGGCACCACCTCCTTCCCATCTTTCCAAAATGGAAAAATGACTCAGAGTCCTGAGTACAGTGTCTTCCTGCCCATATAAATACACATGAACAAAAATCATGAATAAATCATGTACTACACTAACAGGCACTCAGTGCTCAGAAGCGTAATAAAAATCACTATTCCTGGGCCAGGATTCAAAATACAATTTGAAGGCAGCAATAAAATATGCCCAGCTTGCAATGCTTGCTACTAAAATCTCTGTTTGCAACTTAGATCAAAATGTACCGATGACACATCACGGGGTAGGGCTGAACACATGCTTGGTGTATTTTTATTTCAGAAGGTTTCTTAGAATTACAGGTTTGATTATTTAGGACAGAACATTACAAAATCCAGTCACTCCTGTTAAGTATATATGAATGGAAGCATTCTCAGACTTTTCTGCCATTAGAAATGAATAAAATATAATGAATCATCTAATTGCTTGGTACAAATAATGTGTTCAAATGAATTCAGACAAGGACATTATGCCCCTCATTTTATAGTCTCCTATGAATGTAGATTTGTTTTCAAGAATGTGTTTATAAACTCAGCCTACTAGGGTGGAAAATATTGCACTGTGGGATATTCCCAGAGGTGAAAAAACAGGTAGCATATATATAAAATTTAAAGGCACTTTTTTTTTTTTTTTTTTTTTTTTATCGTGGTAGGTTTGTTAGGGCTTAAAGTTTAGATTCAACAACTGTCAGGAATTAATTTACAGGCTTTCAACACCCCTTTTTGACAATTTCTCTAGTGCGAAGATGCAGCTTTGTAGCACATTGCAACAACAAGCAACAAATGCATCTATCATCCATGTGACCGTGAATTCAGCTGGGGCCAGTCACCACGCTCCCCAGAATTATCTCTAAACATGCAACCAGCTTCAGGCAGCTCCCKCCTTAATTCTCTTAATGAGACCCGCCATAACAGCCTGCCAAATAAACCGCTTCCTTCCATCTTTTCCCACCACCTGGCTCTGGGCTCCAGCGGGCTGATAGGGGTCTTTCTTGGAAGCAATTCTTCGGGATTAGAAGGGAAGCGGTACCTCCTTGGCAGCCCCACGGTGCCCATCCTTCCCCAYCCCRCAGGGCAGCTCAGCGGYTCCGGCTGCCTCCCCTCGTCAGCCTCGCGTTGCCTCCTCTCYAACGAGGCCRTTTCGCAGTTTCCAAGTCATTTCCYGATGAAAGCAGCACTGCCTTTTACCTGCCTGTCACTCCATAGCCCCCGTGAGACCTGTGCCCTGGCCAGCACCAGAAGCCCCAGCTCCCCAGGCCCTGCCTGGCGCTTTGCTGTTCACAGCACGACGCAGCCTGTCGCTTCCAGACACTCCTGCTTTGGTGCAACCTTAGATTCAGGTTTGTCAAGCTCGACGTTGGGCAAGTTGTGCAGCCTGGAGAAAACCCCGTTTTGTCTCTGCTCCTGCCAGAGACCGAGGGAGGTGACACTTTCCTGCCTGGCACGGGGGCCTGCTGGGGTGCACCGGCCAAGCTCTGGGATCAGGCACATTCCCAGGACTGGCCCCAGGGGCAATTGCCTTCTGGCTCACATAACTACTGAAACGCTGCAAGGGGAAAGCAAGAGGAAGCTGATGCAGAACGAGGAGGACAGTGACAACAGCAGCCAGATGAAGCTCAGAGCAGGCCCTGACGGTGCTGGGTTAACAGGCATCCGCACCAGAGAGCACGGGCAACGTCCTGCAGCCCCGATCCCTCGCAGGAAACATGAGGGACCCTTTAYGGATCTCCCTGGGCCTCCTCCTACACCCTGCCCTGATTAACCTGACAAAGCCCCTCAGAGTCGCTGGCGCCAGCGGACAGAAATTGCATGGCTTTGCCCAAATTCCCACAGACATGGATCTGTTGCACCCTTGTCCTGTGCTTCAACTCTATGATTATGMCTCTTATCCACATATAAAGTATTTCTATAAATTTCTTCTAATTTCTATTTCAAATACACAGTTGCATTTAAATCTAAAAATWGTATTTTCCAATATAAGTAATGTATCATGTCCCATTTAATCAGTCTGGTCATAAGAGTTATAAAACCTGATTTATTGACTTAGATTAACCACACACACATTTGCCAAATATACATAGCTGTGATAGTCCAACAAAAACACTGACTAAAACAAAGCCAGGTCCTAGCCAGAGGAACTACTTTATTAYTTTTATTTTCAGTGCTTGTCTTCCTGATAGAAAGACACACAGGGCCCTGGCTCCTCTAGAGCCATATTTTTTCTCCAGAGTTGACACCATCCAAAATGCTGGATTTACATTCAGTCTGGWAAAGAAAACTAGCCCTCCATCCTCCATATCCAAATCAAGCCAGTTCAAATTAAAGATCTTAATGATTAAAGATCTTATGCTACATTCTGGTTACTGAGTTCTTGGATTCTTAACTCAATTAAATCTTGGCTTGGTTTTGGTTGCTAATGTCTTTGTTTCATTCAAGGACTTCATCCAAAAACAAGGTTCTGGGTAGCTGTGCATTTTGAAAACTGCTCTACAAGGAAAATCATGTGATCTTTGCAAGTGCAGGAAATTTATATAGATGCATTTAGCAGTTACATTGCCCATTTAGCTTCAAGCATACATAGGGTCTGGATACTACTCAAGTGTCCATTTCACAGAGAGGGGTCGGGGGGCTATGCCAGCAAAGCTGCCTGTTTGCTATAACCTTCATCATTTTGCAAACAGCAACCAAGGGAAGGCCATTTCTTGGGAGTTAATTTGGTTAAATGAGCAGCTCAGGAGCCTAATGGCCATTAAGCTACCAGAAAATGCCAAAGAGATGGTTCCCCTCCAACGTGGGATCCTAGAACTAAGCAACTATAGTGGAAACTTCCCAACAGGTCTCCCAACAAGAAGTAACCTGAAGCAGTATTTCATGGCTTTCAGTTTTTCCAGTGTCTGTCACCCARCATAAAACATTTCCTATCCCTGCTGCAGCACTAGGCTTCTTCTCCTTGCTCTTAGTACACACAGGACCAAGTGTAACTTATACACTTGATTTGTTGAAATGTAAGGAGTAAATAGAGGAAGTCACCAGTCTGCTACCTTATGTTTCTCTTCCATATATCACAAAAGAGCCTTATGTCCTCATAAGCTTTTAGTCTGTCTGTGTGCATCTATGTATACCTAAATATATACACACATTCATATATAATCAGAGGGCTAATAACGTGGAGGTTGTTGAACTAGTCCAACTAGACTCAGTTACATCAGTTAACTCGTACTGTAAGATGCAAGAAAGGGATCCAAGTACTTCATATGCAGCACTGCAGAATGGAATATATCACTATATGATGTATTGCTGACATCACAGCTGTGACCTCTTCCTATTGATTATATAATATGGCTGTGTCATGGGTTTCCACATCACAACAATAGAATCTGCTCAGTTACAATCTACACAATTTCTTGGAAAAAAAATCCATGAATATACATTCCAGTGTAGGATGGAGAGGGCTGGGGAGAGTTCACGTGGTAAAGCATACCTTAAATTTTCCATCCGATGAAAATATGCTAACCCATTTGTTATCGTAGTCAGCAATGATGATGTCCCCGCTGGGATGCACAGCCACCCCCGTGGGCCGCTGCAGCTGCCCAGGAGACCTTCCTCGTATGCCAAAACGGCTCTTGAACTGGCCATCGTTGGAAAATATCTGCAACACAAAACACTTGTTTTCAAACTAAGCCTTCCATAACAACATCGTCTACTTCTTGGAGCTTGTATGTTAGCAAGCAACAAATGAATGCTCTCAGGAAGAGAGAKGGGAACATGAAGTGCTTTTACACCATCCATATTTGAAAGTAACATATCTAATATCAGAAGAAGCCTCCACTTGAACCCTAACTTCATAATAAAGAAGCACTTACATAGCACTTTTTTCAATGAACTTTACAAATGTCAGTGAATTAAACTTCACAAGGTCCCCCTYGGGGAGTTGGAAGTGGTATGATTTCTGTATTAAAAGTGAGCAAACTGAGGCACAGAGTGATTTGGCCAAGGTCACACATCAACTGGATGGAAAAATCAAATGGAAAAGAAGGGAGTAGAACCTAGATGAGATTTGTAGCAACTAATTATTTGATTGTAGATAAATACTGGGCCATTTCCTTAGAAATGCTTTAGTCACCCTCAAAATCTAAGCGACCATGTGTGTCCTCCAGCTATTTAATCAGGCACCGAAGTTCCACATTGCAGTATGTGAGGCAACTAATGCATATTTAACTCTTGTCACTCTAAGAAGGTCTGGAAACAGTTTTTACTGCATGTGACTTTCTGGTTCCAACATAGTGAAGAACAAGCCTCATTCTGCTGCCTTGTTCACTGCTACCACATGGACGGCCTGAACAGTGATGACAAATTGTTAAGGGTGAAAAAGAATACATAGCAGCTTGATTTCCAGGTTACAGAAGCCAAGAAATCATCAATATCAGAGATGCTACCACATCAAAGAGAAGAGTTAATTTAGCAGAGCAAAAGTCACTCGAAAATGACATCTGCAAGTTTATTTGTGCATTTCCTTAGGAAACTACATTTGCAGCCCTGTGTTCTAGATCTATTTTGAAACACAGAAAGCATACAAGTGATAAGCTTACAATGYAGAGTGACATTTACAAAAAAGGCCTTTTTCCACATTATGGCATGTTTGTTTTCTTCAATCACTGCCAAACATAATAAGAAAGGGATATAACTCGGATACACACAGTAGATGTGCTGTAGATGTGAGCTACAGGTCAAGGAGATGGAGCAATAATAGATAACTAACAGGTTGGGCTTCCCTGTATATTCTACATCTGCTTGCAATGCATGAGGTTTGTCTTKCCCAGAGCCCAAAGGAAGAGGAGGAGGAGGGGAGAGGAACAGAGTAATGCAGAAAGCGGCGTATCCTCATACCTGCACACACTGGTTGTTACTGTCTGCTATTAATATTTTTCCATTTGTAGATGCAGCTACACCCTGAAGATTTGTAAACTCCCCTTTGTTTCTCCCTTTGGTACCTAAAGTTGGACAAAAAAACATAAATTGGGTTAGAGAGGACTAATTGGTTAGAACTGAAATGCAAATATATGCATGTATTACATCCTTGATCCCCATATTACTACTTTGAAGTATTTTTATCACTCTTATGGCTTCAAAGGACCATTTCAGTCACAGGTCACAAACAGATCCTTCCAAACACAAGCAGGCTCTTTGGTGCACAGATCATCCAAGCTGCTTCAAAGCGACTGCCTCTTTGGCCTTCAGAAATTAAGTTGTCTGCACAATCATCATCTTACTGGGGTGACAGGTGAGGTGGTTTTTTCATACGTGATGTTTTTTTTTAAAAATACAGGGTTTTAATTAATAGTATGAGAAGGCAATGAAATGGTGAAATGGGACCATACAAACAGGGAGTAAGATAAGAACCTGGATGGGCAGCAGGTGCTGAGTACTGGTACCTAAACCTATCAGTGAAGGCACAAAGCCGAGGTAAAATGTATGAGCGACGGTGTGGGACAGGGCATGTTCAAGCCAGGGMATTTTGCCTTCTGTTCATACACAGTTCTCATTCCCAGGCTGTAAAATCTCCCTCAGACAGGGATGTGTGAGGAAGAACTGGTTTTGAAGGATGGGAATGTATGGGCCAATAAAGACCAACACCTGAAGACTGAACATTCCTGTAATRCATGTATATGTATATGACAAAGAGTTTAGATATTTTATTTTGTACTGGTTTATAACAACTATGTAGAGAGGTCCCAGTTTTACTCAGGACAAATGCAACAGTGAATCATGGACCTGCAAATTCCAATGCAGGTATCACCCTGTTGGCTTAAGGGGACAAGAAGCCATAAAATTTCAATTTTCTCAAAAACTTTCATTACTTTTAGCTATCTCAGTACTTAGATGTTTGCTTTGAAGAGTTTCCAAGCAAACTGATGTTTTTAAAAGGTCAGTCCTACGTGGCAGGTCCAAGCTACACCYGGAGCACAGGGACAGTATCAAAATTCCTACCTTGCTTTTAAAGAAGGCTGASGGCTCCTCAGTGCTCCTCAGACAAGCCTACAGTTATGGTCTTGGACCAACAGAGTGTTCCATACTGAACAAAGAAGTTCCAACTTCTTTGGAAACAAAATAGCCCTGTAAACTGCTAATTCTGAGCCTTGGATGCAATGCTATTTTTCCTGGTAGAGTACTTTTACAAGCGGTCACTGGCTGCCTGTCAGAAATTAGCTGGTTTCAATACATGGCTTTAACTGCAAAGCCTGTATTCCATTTTAGTCTCTCCAAAGGAGGCWGGACCTTAATGACTAACGGCGCTCTACCGTGAACTGCTATAAAAGACTAGTACCAGCCCTAATTTGTGCTTAGCTTTAACGAGGGCTGGCTGTGCTCCGAGCAGCCGCTCCATGTGCTGTGCGGATGGACGCGRGCGCACGTTTCCCGGGAGCAGGTAACGCTTCCTTCCCTGCCCTTGGTGCTGAGACCTTGTCCCATTGTTCAGGCTTGTCCTCCCAAGCTCCGCGTGCTTCCACCCGCCCAGCAAGGCACATATGTCTCATTTGTCACATTGCAAGAGGCAAGTAAACATTACAGGCATGGCCAGCTATACACCAGTTATGTTACCCACTCCCGAGCCATTTCTGTGTGTCCTCCTAGTGAGCAGTGCCTGAGGGATGCACGCAGTACTTTTTTTTTCCACCATATGTTAATGATAGGTTTCCTTTTCGCCCTTCAGCCAAAGGGAAAGGATGAAAAGTGAGAAGCTTCTCYTTAATACTGAGAGGAAGGGAAACATTTGTTGGAAGAGAGGCAAGGAAACATTTTTTTGGAAGAAAGGCAGTGCAAGCTGGAGCATCTGGAACCAACTAGCACAAACATTCTCTCATGTGTGCTCTTTCCCTTAAGAAAAGTGTCCTTGAAAGCCAAGGAATCCCATTTCTCAAGATAAGAGAGCTCAGTATAAAAAGTTACTCGGAGCATGCTTCAGTGGGACCTTGTAAACATCTATCAAAGGAAAAATAGAAGACGTTATCCAAAAATACTACACTCACATTTCCCAATACAGTTTATAAACAGTAATCTATTAGCACAATTTATGGGTGAAATCCAGCCCAGCGCAATGACCTTGACACGGTGCAGCCATTCAACCCTTGACAGTTGTCCTACGTTGCACACTGTCCCCTCCACCGTGGGGCAAATTCTTCTCCAGAAAGCCGAGTTCAGTGAAACTACTTGTTTCCAAGCTTGTGCTCAAGAGGAAAGCATCCAACCTTGGGCTTCCTTTCCTGGATAACGCAGGACAAGACATGGGCCCGAGGACGGGCGGCGAGAGGAGGCCTCGCACTGAGGCACGTCAGCACCTGGGACGGCAGGAGCTGCAGCGTGACAGCTCCCGCGGCCAAGCAGGGGGACTCCRGCCCTACAAACACCCGGTGTGAGACCGTCCTCAGCAGCTCTCCCGTGGCAAGAGCTGGGCTGGCAGCTTCCATCCGCAGCCTGCACAGGAGCCGCTCGGGTGGCACCTTGGTGCCCAGCCGGCTCAACAAACAACCCGCTCCGCGCTCGGCCTGCTCAGTTCCTCCTGGTGTCACCCCATGTGCCCTGCACAAACTGATTTCTCTTGCTTTGAAGGCATTCTCTGAGGAGAAGAGTGTATCCGTTTGCAGCTCCAGACAGAGAAACAACCTAGGACACGTGGATTGCTTCCTAATTTTAACCTTTTATTCTTGCACAGTCAAGTCCCGATTGACCAAAAAATCCAAGAAGTCTTTAAAATTACAGGAGATGTTAAAAAACAAATCRTGGAGCTGCTCCATAGGTACTGGGCATCTGGACAAATCTATTGTATAATGCATATCTGTTGGTATTCATGGTAATGCTTTTTGCTTTCTAAGCTTTGCTAACATGACGTTACTAATCATAACTTCCCTRCTTGCTCACCAAGATTTACCAGCTTCATAACACACAAAGAACCACCATGGCACTTCCCCCAGCAAGAAGGGAACGAATTCAAAGGCCCAAAAAACCCTGCAGAAAGATTACAGATTCATGGGGACCATGAGGGAGCCACAACATGTTGGGTAACTACCAGTTCTTCCCTGCCCACAACTCCTCGAATGCTTCTTCTGGGGCTTCTGTGGTTCTCTGTGTGGTACAAAACCAAGGATAAGCAGCAGGGAACTGCAAATCCGAGTATCCAGAAGTCTTCCCTTTCCCCACTCCCACACCTCACCAGTGCAGGACATGGTTACTGGAGCCTCACACGGTACTAGAATGTGATGCCCCCTCTGCTAACACCCAGAAATGAAACACACGCGTCCCTATTACAGCAAGTTGCACTGTTTGCAATCCAAGCCACCACGCGGATCTGTTCCAAAGGCAGCCGGCCCGTTGGATGAGGGCACCCGTGATGTTTGCAGCTTTCAAAGCTCACAACAAGGCCCCTGTTGCTTTCAGCAGTTCTAGGCAACCAGAAGATGACATCTGCATAGTAAGGAGGCCGACAGAAGGCACTGTTAAAGGCACTTTTTTTTCCCTTTAATATGGGTAATTCACTCTGATTTGAGTGCACCAGCTCAACTTAAGCTGCTCAGTTACACAACCGAACAGACGACTAAACGCAGTCCGAGGAAACAGAAAATTGAACTTTCCAGCAAGAAGCCAGCTCTCCATCTGGCTGTGTGTGATGCCAAAGCCGAGCTTAGATAAACGAAGAGGAAACGCAGCTGAAGTGGGAAACGGCCCCACTATTGCTAAACGCTGTCGGAGAAGCCAGCCATGAAAACGCTGGAAGAGATGACAGCAGGTCCATGTGGAAGGCCCGGTGTGATGGAGCGGGGGCACTGCACAGGGTCAGGGCCCTGCTGGCTGTGGGGCGCACGCTGCTCTCACACACCCCACACCTGGGGGGCTCAGGTCAGGGGGATCCACCGGGTCCCGCGCACATCCATCCCGCCGCCTCCATGAGCAACACCGGGAGGCAGGAGCGGGGAGACGGGCTCCCCTTCACCCCGGTGCCTCCCGACACCTGCACTGCCAGCGGATACTGGGGCTGTTTTGTGGGTGTCCCAAACACATTCCTGCTTTCCTGTGCACAGGCTACGTGCACGTTACAGTGGATTGAGGGGTATTTGTAAAATGAGTGATTTATGTAGTACCATGGGAGCAAAGAAATACTCTGTTCTTGTACATAACGAATTACATGGATGTTCAAACATACAGGCAAGAGCGTGACCTCAAAACATCTGAGTAGAACCACATGCCACTTAAAAAGCCAGGAATATCACGGAATTGGCACAAGATTTAATGCACAATTCCCCACGATCAAGAATACTTAGGCGTACTCGTGCTGTATGAATGGCGTATACGTTAACACAGACCTGCCAGGAGCTGATGAGTTTGCTAGTGCACCAAAGCCCATAGGTCAGCGTGTAAGCAACAGCACGCCCCACTTGCTCACAGACCCACGGGAGTATCCAGCACAGCTTCCCAACACAGCTGAGCAAGCCTCTGGCAGCCCAAACGTGAACTCTCCTTATCTAGCCCCCTTTAAATTACAAACTCACTTTTGGCAGCACTCTTAGAGGAACTCAACAGTGGGATCCAAATAAAGATGCACAGTTGGGCTGGAAAATGCTGATCAGCTTTATGGTGCGTGACTTGAGCCACACGTGAACCAAAACTCYGCTTTTACAGGCGAGTTCAGACTGGAGCTAAACAGATTTTTTAATCCCTGAAGGCAATCCCTGCAAATACCGCAGTGATTTTACCTGTCCTCATTACTTACATATATTTTGGAAGAGTATAAAATGTTAGTAGAGCATTACAGCTGCAGAGGCCTGGGACACCTTTCAGATGCACCACAGTCTCTCAGAGGCCCAGAGGGATGTCTCTTTGTAGGATCACTCTGTGAAATGAGTAACTGAGAAACGAATATGGAATGGGATGAAGKATTACTCATTGCTCTGTTTTTCAAAAAGGAAAAAAATAAGAATCTGTAGACCCACCTAGATCTACAGCTTTCCACACAGGGACAAATTAATGCTAGACAGATGTGAGCAAGAGTAAGGCCCCAGCACTCACGGAAGGCTTCAGTCGCAGAGCTGCCCTGTTCTTCAGAGGCAGCTTGTACCCAGGCAAGCTTTCCTACCCTCACTTGCCTCAGCACAGACCTATAGAGACCCCCTCTAGCTGAATCCGTGCATYCAGCCTCCTCTTCAGCAAGCAAGAAGTATTTTCTAGCTATATAAGCAGATATTTTAGAAATACAACATCCTATGCTACAGACTTTTTCAATAATTAATTATATTTCTAGGTAAACAAATTATAACAAAAGAGCTGAAAGAGAATCATGGTAGCTGACACGGAGATGGTATTTCAATTGCCAAGACCCAAAATCTGGGGATACAATCACTGTAAATAAGGAGCCAAACATATTCATATATTGAAAAGCACAAAGGAAGTGTGCTCTTAACTTCGTCCTACGGTGACATCACAAATTAATTACATATGATAACAGATATAGCATGCAAGTCTCTGGTTAGATTAATCACTTAAGTGATTTTTTAGGGCAATGGTTGCAGAGAAATTCCTCTCTTCATAGAATCATAAAGGTTGGAAGGGACCTTTAGAGATCATCCAGTCCAACCCCTGCTCCAGCAGGGACACCGAGAGCACRGGGCACAGGGCTGCATCCAAGMGGGATTTGAAGATCTCCAGAGAAGGAGACTCCACAGCCTCTCTGGGCAACCTGTTCCAGGGCTCTGTCGCTCTCACTCTTGCCACGTGAGTTTTTGAAGAAGCAATTTAATCTGAAGCAATAGTCTAACAATACTGCCAGCTCATGATGCTTAAAAGAGGGCAGAGAAAGTAGTAAAGTATCTAAATCAGCTGCATGCATTTCTCAAGCGAAATTCCAATTAAATGTTTGTTGCAAGCAGTATTTCCGGAGCACGTACTTTTAAAATGCACAAGTAAACAAAAGCCAGAGGCCTAAAGATTGTTGAGATTGTTCTATTTATCATGACATGGATACATATAGTTTTAACCTTAAAATCATTGAATTTCGAGGACTTTTTGCACCGCTTCTCTGAACTATTTTTCAACATGCCAACAGCTGGCAGACCAGTCACCTACCCACTCTGAAGATCAAGTCATCTTCAATGGGATTCTCTTTTCTCTTGCCCGTGCTGTACATGCTAGCCGGCCTCTTCACAGCCTTCTGCTTCACGTGCCCGCTGCCGGGCGACTTCACACGCCTCTTGACCCCTTCYGTGGTCGGGGACACATCTGCCGACCTGACCACCTTCAGCTTAAAGGGGCTGCCCTTAATGTGCTGATCGTAGAGCCTCAGCGACAAAGTGAAGTCCCCCTCTTTCTGCACGGTGTACAGGAACTCGTAGGTGCCGTTCTTGTTGTCGAGGATTTCGCCGTCGGCCACGCTGCCGTCGGGCGTGCTGAGCTCGGCGGTGAGGTACGCGTTGCCCGACTTGCACAGCTCCCCGTCCTTGTCCTTCGTCGTGATGGTCACGGACATGGGCTGCCCGATCACCGTCTGCCTCAGGCCCTCGCCCGTGGCCACCGTTTCGGAGGCGACCGCGTTGGTGGTTAAAATGGTGCCCAGGTTGTGGATGGACTTCTTGAGGCCTTCGGTCTCCACGAGGAAGTCGAGCTGGTCGTTCTCGCGGGGCTGCAGCGGGAAGTCCCGCTCGGCCAGCTCGTTGAGCTTGTCGCTCATCTGCTTCTTCACCAGCAGGACCTCCGTTTCGGTGCCGTGGTTGAGGGCCTGCGCTGTGAAGCTGCTGCAACTTTTAATGCTCTCTTGTCCTTCAAGCAGGGTATCCAGCTGTGTTTGCAGCACCTGGGCGCATTGACAAATACCAGATTAGCATCATGTTACCAACGTTATTCTAGCAAGACGTAGTACTCTGCATTGGAAGGCCTTCACAGAACCCTTTACAGTGCTTTATTTCAAAAGTGTCACTTTATTTGTAAAGTACTGCACTGACTCCCTACACCCAACAGAGTGAACCGAGCATGTTTCGGGAGTGTCAAGTGGCAACCCCAAAACGCATTCCCCATTTTGGATCTTCAGGGCTTCAAAGATCCATTGTCACACAGACTGAATTTTGTCCCATCTAACTCATAACACTTGTTTTCAGACATTTGAGCCTTGATCATCTGCTTCTCAGCAGTCACAGTTAACRAGCTGGTTAATAGGAAATGTGCACTCAGAGATAGGGATATTTTGGAGCCACCAGGCTCATTAACAGGAGAGGGGGCTGAAAGGATTCCCATCTCTTCAGAGCCAGGGAAAACTTTGGGAAAAACCTATACAGAAATGGACCAGTAGACAACCAAGTTTTCTCCTTCCATGCTGAGGGATATATCACAATCTCTTCATTGAAATAAGTGAAGAAAGAAAAAGTCTCCTTGGCAGAAGTAGGAAAATTAATTCCTCAGATTCAGCAGGCAGGAGAGCAAAACACAGAGGATGGGTTATGGATAATGGGAAGAGCTGGGCTGAGCAGCCTGCAGTTCTGATGGGCAGCAAGTTGCCACTCTGTGTTTAAGTATAAAGCAGTGCTTTTACTATATGCTCAGCACTGTTCCACAGCCTAAAATTTTTAAGACGGGATTGACCTCAAAATTGTTAGGTGTGGGTTGCAAACAAGGTTAACATTTTTTCAAAACTAGATTTATAACGAATTGGAAAAAGATCCCTAAATCATAACAGACCAACATAGGGAAATTCATGATAGTCTGGAAAGCCCAAAAGTTTCAGCCTCTCCCCACACTCTCCACTGACTCCAAAACAAAGAATCAGTCACTTATTTGCTGTGTTTCTCCTGCAGAGAAGAACTAGGATGTTGGCATTGCTGTACAGCAAAGAAGTTCTGTTAATCATCACTGTAAAACATATTTTAGAAACCTTGCAATTAATTCTAAGCTAAAGTTACAGACTTAGTGAATCTATTGCTATGAGCTATTGATGTTAGCTTGCTTGTCCTTCCATTGCTGACATACAGCATGTAATGATACCATACTCTAAGGGCACTTTTAATTCTGATTTTTTAAAAAACTAGCTGCTTTTTCTACACCCACTGCAGAAAATCTAGGTGATGATGAGCTACTGTTATGGGAAACTGACACCAGCCTGAAGTATTGTGCCAAAAAATGCTAGAATGAAAAAGACATTTCATGTCCAGATTGAAATTTCAAGATACCTGGTTTTGTTCATATCTAGGAATGCCACAGAATTGAAGAGATTTTTAAGTCTTGTCTTAAACCAGAAGGTAAGGAGTTAAAGTGATACCATAGCTAGTGAAGTCCCAGGATGAGAAAAACCCATATGCTTGGGATAACAAACCACAAACTGTGGAGGAAGACAATTTGCAACTACATTTTAAAACCATTATATTCTCAATATCATGTTTTTGCATTACACAGATGGAAAATATTCAGTRTTACCATAACTAATATTTAAAATATGTCTAGAATGCTTTACACAAGGCCTCTGTCACTCCAATGGACAGTGGAAACTGAATGGCCAGCTTTCTTCTAGAGAAGTATAGCCCATTCCTTTATTTCAGTTTTTAAAGTACTTGTTCAGAAAGAGGTATATTATTTATTTCATGGGCCTTCGATTCATTCAAATGTAAAACCCAGTTCCAGTTTCTCCCTGCAAAGAACAGGGAAATGCTTCTTTCACTATTTGTGTATGTACAACTTCATAAAACACATTTAGTAAAGCATAAAATGTCCCTTTAAAAATAATATAACACCATAATTCATATTATGGGGACTTTGCACATCTCTGAGTATGTCTTCTTGTATGAAAATACGTTTTGAGGACAACATCTTTCACAGGTTTAGATGAATTTGAGATGAAGTTCAAAGTTTTGATGCTAAAAAGCTGTTCAGCTGCTGCTTAACAGGAGATGACTAAACTCTRMCTACAGGGTTTTGGGCTCCTATGTATCCAAAATTATTTCTCTTATGCATATATTAAAATTTCCTGACTTTTATAGGTCCAACAGAAATAGTATGTTCCTAATCATTAAATTTGCTCTGGRTTCAGGAATGCACCATTCCTTCACTTAAACCATTTAGAGAAGCTCAAGCTGCTCGGGACTCTCAGAGAATGCCCAAAGACACCAGTATTATCAGGCATTCCTTAAATTCCAAGGTTGATGCTATTTTGTTTTAAAGGACACTTTGAAAGGGGAGAGCCTTCTTTAATATCAAACAGCAACCAGAAAGAAATAGGTTGAATTCTTTCATTTGCCTGATAGAGGCCCATTGATCCTAGGCAAAGCCCTAGTCACCAGGCTGCAAACTTGCTGACAAAGGGAAAATTTCCCTTTTCTTCCTACGAGGCTTAGTCAGTACTGAGGGAAAAATGAAACATTCATTCAGCCAGATAAGAAGTGAAAGAGCAAACATTGCTCTGGAATATATTGCTCCCTGCACTCTCCTAGGAAAATGAGACGTCCCTGCAACGTTTGTGTGTTCCAACCAGTGACTTTTAGCATGAACTACATTATGAGGAATCTGAAAGGAAAATAATGCTTTAAAGCATGATAGTAAACCTTGCTCAGTTCCTAGGGGAAAGGAAAAAAAATGTTTGGCTGTGCCTTTATGGGAGGATTCACGGGATTTCAGCCCAAGGATTTAAACTTACCCTTGATGTTCCGTTACTGGCAGCTGCACATTGAGCACGTTGGCTTTAAGCAGACGCCTGCTCAGTGCATTGGCTCTATCAGACCCCCCCGCCACGGACTAGTGCAGGACTAGTGGCCCATACGGGCTCTGGGCTCGGCTCTGGAGGCCRGGCACAAGGAAGGCTCCGCAGCACTTCATTCCGGGAAGGAAACCTTCTCCCGGATCTGGATCTCAGACACRACCTGTCAGACTGGCGCCCTGCATCGTTTGCAAAGACTGGCTGATTAAATTAATAGCTTTCCATTGAGACAAAACATGCATCTTACTTTGTGTTTAAGGCCATAATTCACTTCCAGTTCCATAAGCAGCACGCTCTTTCGCACATTTAAAGTCTTCTGGAGTTCATCAAAAGTGGAATGAATGTCATCTACAATGCTAGCCTTTTGGTTGGTTAACTGATGTATGATTTCAGATATAAAATGAAGTGCTGAGTCGATCTCTGGAAGCCTGAGGGAGGGATTAAATTACAAAGACTGCTGTTTCAAAAGTCATTAAACATTGGCCCTTGCCTTGACATCTTTTGATGAAACAATCTCAACACCAGGCTGTCTTTAAACTCAGTCTTTTCCCAGAAGTAAATTCATTCCTTTTACAACCACATAGTGTTTTTGGTCTGATAAAAATAAGGCTGAAGCCAAAGCCCTCCCTTGTGGAAAGCCATTAGGCTCCAAGCAGTTCCAACACAGAGGCCTTGGACCCTCTGTCCCTTATGTGTCCTATATATTAGGGATGAGGGAACGAGATCTATCCTTTTTTATTATTATTTTATCCTTTCTGCCAGAATAAAGCTTGTACTTTAAGCACACAGCATTATTTATTTATTTATTATGAAACTCGTGTATGGCTCATTTTTTTCCTTAACATTTTATGTTCCTTCTTTGAAAGTCTCTTTTATTTCTATGGCCTGAGAAAGATCTGGCCTCTGTTTCGCAAAAGACAGATAAGAATCTTCCGCTCTTTCCTCTACTCCCTCAAAAGCATCACACACTAGAGATTTTATCCTTATGCCATCTTCACTATCCCTATTTTGTARGTCTACCCAAGAAAGCCTACCCAGAGTAACATAGGAAGCCAATAGGAAAATTAAAAATGGAAAAATAATCCGTGGAATCTCTGTACCTTTTGTTGACAGCATCCAACTGGACTTGGAGAGACGCCTTGTGTTGTTCCACCACATCCTTGAGCGGGACCGTGGGATGCTCCGCGTGCTCTCCCTCCGTGCATTCCCGGCACATGGCTGTCTCGCASGACTGGCAGTAAAACTCCATCACCTGGAAACATGCACAGCTCCCATCACAAACGTGGCAGGAAGAGCATCACTCCAAACACACCTTACTGTGCGCCTTGGGGATGTTATTATACAAGCCCTGAAATTATAGTTCAGCATGAAACAAATACTGCTGTCTGAGAGCAGACCCTTCAATGCTTAAAAGGTATATTTGTTAATTTTACAGGTTTTGTATCAAAATCCTGTTTTAAATGCCTTTATCAGGAAACRTCAGAGGAGTAGGCTGGGAAATAGAGTGCTGAACATCAGTGACTTGCTCTAACTTCATCTGGGCATTGTGTAATAGTACATTTTGGTGTCCCTCAGCTACTCCATGCAAAAACTCCCTTGCAAAACAAGGCATTCAAGTCCCACACCAACTCAGTTCCAAACCTTCCTGGAGAGACTACACCAAATACAGRGCCAGCTTAGACTGGTTTTGTAACAGGGCCACATCTGCAACATGAAATCAGCGGAGAAAACTGAACTCCATATTTATTTGCCACAGAAAGGCACTCTAAATGAGCCAACACACTGCAGGGGAAAAGCTCCATATCCCATTACTAATCTCTTAAAACCATCAAACCCTCATATGCGAGATTATAAGAGCGCTGCTGATCTACRAAGAGAAGGAGATGTTTTCAACTTATGTATCCAGTAAAACATTGTCTGGAGCTATAAATAAATACACCCCCCAAGTCWGAATATATTCCTGAAGGGCGAGAAACAGAAAAGTGCTGTACCCAASATCATATGTTACTCAAAATAAACAAATTCGGCTTGAGACTTTTTTTTTTTTCTTTTTACATGAGATCTTTTTCCTACAACTATGTCTTTGAGCACAAAGCATTCTAGGCTTCTTAAAGAGTGTGTAAGGAAGCTCATATTAAGTGCTTCAAAGCAAGATATTGGCTTCAAAGCAAGATCTTGCACTCAGACCACAGCACTGGACTGTCGAGCACCTTGGTCCTTGCTTTTGGCACTGGGATCTYTCCCACACAGAGAGCTGGATGGGAGATGCTGGTGGCATCAAGACAGTCTTAGGGAAGAGCAGAGCCGGCTATTTTGGGGYGAGCAGAGGAACCTGTACAGGTATCATGCAAAGCACCTGGCTGCTCCAACACATCTTGAGAATTAGAAGAGGGAAATAAGAATCCAGATTTGCATGTGGCTATTAGCATTATTAGGGATTTTCCTCAATAAGCTTCTTTCCTTCTAATTCCCATTCTTCTCTCTTATCTCAACTCTCAAGATACAGGGCTCAGGGGCAGTGTGGGTTTAGTCATTTGTCAGCTATTTGTGTAAACCACTTCAGAGGAAATGAAAAAGCTGCCCAAAACAAATCGTGTAACACAGAATATATCAGCGAGGAAAACAAACAAATAAACAATAAGATGTAGCCCATCTAGACAAGAGGAATTAGTTACACCCATGGCAACCACTATCAGCTCTGCTCCAGTAACTGGGATTTGAGGGATCCCATGGAAGTAGATCCTCGGAGTTATGGCAGTTACTTTGGTAGGCACTAAGTTACAGTACCCAGAGCAAAATGGGCTCAATAGAGTTTAGGATTTAAACTCCTTACAAAGGCTGCAGGCATTTACAGTCAGAACCAACCAAAAACTAAAAATATATTAAGAAAGTCTAAGTCTTTTTATAGGATAAGGGTTCATTTCTTTCAAATCATGTCAAAAGTTCAGTTTTTTGCCTTGTGATAATTTAATGTTTATGGTTCAAGATATTTTTTAAAAAGCTCTTTAGTTATTCCACATTTCTATCCTTGGGTATAATATTTGGGTTAWTATAAAAAAATCTCTGTTTCTCAGTGAATACTTCATTAACAAACACTATTATATCTGCAGCAACATATAAAAGACAGAAAACATCTCATTGGCATACTGAAGTTTATTCTAATCAGATTTCTTCCTCTTTATTCCAATGCCAGAGAATCACATAAACCAGMATGGCAGCAGAAAGCAAGCACCAGAGCTAATGTACACGTTTGCATAGGAACGGTCTCTTCTGCCCTAGTCAAATTTGGAATGCTTTGAGTGAAGCAGCTTTCATTTCCTMTGAAAGACTTAGGATTATGCTACAACTAAAGGGGAAAGAAAAGTTAATATTAATACAGTTTAGGCTGGAAGTACCTAGCTAAGTTGTTTGTGAAAGATTTTGGCAAGCATTGCCTATTCAGTCAAATTTTCAAATACTTTGTTCTTTTACATTTATTTCTAACTACAGACCCATCTTCTCTCCAACACTGGCTTCATGTTTTATGGCATTCCCAGAAAGCTTTGCATTAAAAAAAACCCTCAAAATGAAATATCTCCATATCTTCTCAAAACAGGCTTGCCGCATCCTTCTTTCCCGAGTGGAGGAGGGTGTCTGGCCAGGATGTGCTATGGCACCCAGCGCCGGGTTCAGCYGCTTCTGAAACCAGCGGGAATCAGCTGCAATGTGTAGGTTAACACACACACRCTGCTTTCAAAACCCCATCCGCTGACTCCACCTTAATGCAGACAAGCATATTTCAGCACCCGGATTTAGTCATAGGCCTACACACATCTTCACTACAGTAATTTAACTAAATATACAGAAACTTTTTTAATTTGTCTGATGAAAGACATATGAAACAGATTTCACAAAGCCAAGGCACATTCATTCCAACCCTTCAGAGCTGAGGTCTCAAGAAAAAGGCTCTCAGCAATYCCGAGCCTCCTTATCTAAAAATCACATTTGAATAATCACATTTTCCATCCTCTGCTTTCTATTTGTTTGAATTAAAACAGCAGTCCAGAAGAAAAAGAGGCATTTATTCCTTGCCAGCCGTCTCCCTATCTCACACACACGCTCCGTTCCTCTAGCTCAGGGCTAGCGTGCAGCTCAGCTKTGTGTGTTTTGGCTTCTAGAAAAATATCAGCTTGAGTTACCTGACAGCACTTCCCATACACTGCATTAAATTTAAAACTCAGGCTTTTGTCCTCCCATCTTACAGTTTTTACAGTAAACACTAAACATTTTTTAAAGGGTTTTTATGAGTTAAACAACATACTCACATGTAGCAAGTGACCACCAAACCCCTCATACCAGTTTGTGCTTCTGGTAGATCTGACTACATTAGGGACCTGCTCCTCCTTCCTGCCTCTGCCGAGTTTTCCTTGTGAGGCAGGAAAATGCCTCGCCAGGAAGGAGCTGGGTTTACTAGTGCTAGTGCCCACTGAGGGTTGAATGTCCGTGAAGTACCCATAGACATTTTGAATTTTTCATTTAGCTGAAGTGACATACTGAAAATTGCACAGTACATAAACATATAGAATACGGTTCAATGGGATACATAAGTGACATACTAGGAATTACAGAGGTGAGGGGAAAAGGCAGGGTTTAAATGGCACATTATGAATTCAGCTCATCAGGACATCAAGCTTTCCTATTTTATCCCCAAGAGAGGCACACAGGCAGCAAGCAGCACCTGCACAAGTTTAGGAAATGTTTTTCCATGCCAGATCTTATACCTATCAAATTGCCGAGCTATCCTGTTATCTTTTGAGAACAAGTTAGAACAAGATATCAGGTTTGCTCTCTTGTTACAGGCTTTTATTTGAATATGGGGTAAACTCTATTGTTACTCCCTTCAGGTGGAAAATATGCTGTGCTTGTACAAGAATGGGTCCTGGGATCTAAGGAGGCTCTCACTTGTAATTTAAATAAAACCCCAAAGTATATTTTTTAGCATAAGCACTTACATAGCAGCTCTATCGCCCATTATATATATATATAAAATATTATATAGAGTTACAGTGCCACAGCCTTTACCATCTTGGCTCTAAATGACTGCAGACCAACATTTCCAAACCTGGATTCTTACACCCAACACAAGGTGCAGGTGATTTGGCACCTGAGAATTAAGCCAATCCTATTTAGTGTGCAAATATGTAAATATAATATAAGAATATACTGCCAGGTTCAAGAGTTCCACAGCATATGTGCCATATTACCCTAATTTCCCAAGAAGATATTTTCAGGCTCCGTGTTGGGGGGATATGAGTAGGCATCCCGCTACAGCTGAAGCGCAGGAAACCATCCCTCACGTTAAGATACTCCGGGCTAAGTCTCATTCATCCCAAGAGCACGCAGCAAAGAGGCCGCAATAGCGGACGTGCTGCAGAGGGAATAGGGCACGCACACACCAAAGTGATTAGTGGGGTGAGAGGCCGCCTGGAAGCAAAAGCCTCTCCAGCACAGGGCCTGAGGAGGGCTGAGGTGGAGCAGACTGGCAAGCCAGGGAAACAGAACTGTGCGTGGGGCCCTGCTCGGTTTCGGCCCGAGAGCTTCAAACCCGCTGTCACCGGCGAGGCCTCTTCTCCGAGGGTCCTTGTGGGCCACTGGCTGCCTGGCCCCATGGCAGCCCCACAGCCGGCTCCCACAGAGCATCCTAAGCAGCCCGTTGGACGGCATGTAAGGCGAGCAAGTTCATTTTGGAGGACTTACAAACCCACTTGTGCACAGAAAGGAATTCCCAGAGAGGTATAAGGGGGCCTAATTTTAATTACAGGCAAAAGAGTTTCCTCTAAATTATTTCAACACATCTAAAAAGCCAACAGCTTATRGGCTAAAAAAGTAACATCTTCATCTTTTCCTTTTTCTTCTTTCCTTTTTCTTCTTTTTTTTTTTTAAATGTACTTCCTAATCAAATAGCTCCAATCACCAATGCTGTGTCAGAGAAGAGCTATGATTCATTTCAAGGAGATCAATTAAAGTGTAAATAAAACCATATTAATCAGTAACCACTCCACACACATAGGTACAGCACCCATTTCGAAAAAGAAGTCTACCAGTTACTCATTAACTAGAGCATATAGCAATCAGTTCTACAAGTCAGCCTAAGTCCAGCAGGTCAGCAAGGAAAGGGAACTGAACTRCTCTTCTTGGGGAGCAATCAAAACCTGCCAGCTAAATCATTCCTACAAAACCAGTACTTTAACTGTGCTTCAAATAAAATACTCCTCAGAAGGTTGTCTTGAAACCCTGGCACAAACGTCTCGGCTCGCACACAGGGCTGACGTTCAGCTTGCAGCACCGCGTGCCTCAGCTGCGCAGCACGGTCTGCTTGYGCGCTCGCATAACGCTGGCGGCCCTGGGAGCTCAAAGTGCTGAAGCGGGCAGYGAGAGCAGAGCTGGCCTAACACTGGGACCTTGTTCAGTTTGGGGTACTGGCCAGCCAAAACACTGAGAGCATTAGGAGTGCATGTGGGGGGATGCTAGGCCAAAAAGCAGGTGGGGAAAGAAAGCAAAGACAAGCAGTTTACTTCGGAGTATCCAGGAACTGGTACCTGATATCCACTTGCACAAAACATTGCAGATAAACATGGCTTGCTCTGTTCCTAGGCTGTGGTGGCCCAAACCTGTGCGTGACTGAGGGGCTGAGCTCGAGTCAGATGCCCTTGTATCTGTTGCTATTTTAACATACTCACACACTGCTTTTGAAACCACCTCAGATCTCACTGGGTCAGTGCGTAGGTCAATTAAGCTTATAACGTTTGCCTACAGGAGCCCAGAGGTTACTACAGCAATGGTCAGGCCAACGARGAGAGCTACGGGATCGCATCTCGAGACAAAGGCACATGGCCCAGTGCCTGCAGGAGCACAGCCTCGATCACACATGTTAAAATGAAGCATCATCCAGCACGACTGGCAGGATGAAATAATATCCTTACTGCTTTAAGATGCTCCATTAAATGTTTTCACTGAAAAAAAACTTAAGTGTTTTTAAGGTATTGTTAATTTTAACCAGCCCTTTATCTTTGCTGACATATACAATCCAAGGAGCACCGAGATTGCCATTCCCACTGTATGTTCAGCCCAAAACAYCCGCTGCAAGGCAGGGCAATGGGAGTCTCACACGTATCCCCGGAGCTTGTCTCACTTACATTTCCATCATGATTGGGGCAGGAGAGTGGCTTGCCTGCAGCAACAGCAGTGACAGTCTCCAAGATGGAGGACTCCTCTATGCTGTTGTCGGGCGCTCGCTGCAGGACATCCATCAGGTTGGTGATAAAGAAGTTGTTCTGGAGTGCGGAAACCCCTTTCTCTGGCAGAATGGAGGTCTGGCGGCACACGGGGCAAGAAAGGGTTAAGCTATGGGCTGGAATGTAATTCTGTAAGCACCTATGGGGAAGGGAGATAGAGGTGGAGAAAGAAAGAGAGTGAAAGCATCAAAGAGGAGAAAGAAACCCCTTCTTCTACAAACCAATTTGAAATACTGCTATCCCTGCTTTTGAAAGGAAAGGTAAATCTGATTCCCTGGAGTAAAAACCATCATAGGGATTTTTTTCCTTTAAATCTTACTTCCCCTGCCACACGGGAAAAAAAATACATACACACAAGATCAATAAGCTGACATCACTGGGAGAGTTACGTGCCTTTCTTGAAGGCATCTATCTACTGCAAATGCTTTCCTGCTTTGAAGCATCTACCGCATCCTGCTCACACAAGGGTAAAGACGACAAACTATGAGATGAAGTTTGACCGACATGAAATTCCTGTATCACGCGTTTGAGCCTGTCTTCAGCTGCCCAACCGGTGGCTGACTCTTCCTTATTAACTTACATCTGTGGACTTTGTGCTTCAGAGCTAAAATGTGGTCCCAAGGAAACCAAGGGAAGTTTTTCCATTTACTTCCATTAGGAATGCTATTTGGCAGTTATCCCAAATCAACAGAGCTTGTTCTGCTTCGCTCTCCCCTACCCAGGAAAGCATGTCCCGCTTTATCACGGATGCCAGCCAAGGGACGCCCCGTGCCTGGCACCTCTTGCCCCTTCCCAGGGCTCTGCTGGYGCTGCTCTGCCCTCCCCCTTGGCCTCCCTCCCCAGGGAGGGCCCTGCAAAGGGAAGGCAGGCAGTGCACATCAGCACTGCACCTGCGGGAGGTTCTTCCCACCGCCCTCCAGATCTGTGCAAGAGGATGACAGTGAAAAACAGGAGCTGCCCTTAGGACTGGCACGTGAACTGAAGTCAGCAAACATAAGACTTGATGGTGAAAACCCCAACTTCGCTGTTTTCAGTACGAGTTTCACTGCTGGCCTCAGTGAAGCCTGGATCTCCTGCTCTTCTGCAAAGGACCATTTCGCTTGATGCAGCCAGAGGTCAATGTTTCCTCTCGCACACCTAGACAGGCACCCTGCAATGCTAACCGAGAGCTAGAGAGCTCCTGAGCTACGCATTCACACACAGCACCACTTATTATAATTTTTGTACCATTCACTATATAACTCCAAAATTGCAGCCCATCATCACATCAAGATCTCCAATGAATAATTCCGTAGCTAACTTTTCTGCAAATGCTGTATCTTTCCACAATTTAATGGATAATACAACACTGCAGTATCATTAGCTATGTTCAGCTCATTCAGCTGAATACAGGCTGCTCTTTTTTCCACATCTTTTTTTCAGAGATTTTTTCCATTTCAGTCAATGCAGCTGCAGAATAATGAGGACACTTTATCACTGACTATTAATAATGCATATATAATATCTAACCCTTGGACGTTAAATATAGGATAATTATTCTCTCCTTAGTAAATCAACAAAGAAAGGTTGTTATYGTTTCTACTTACAGACTAATCAGTACAAACTTGAGGCTATCAATTTAAGATCCAAACTCTGCCTGCCACCACCTTTCATGCTGGTGTAACAATAGCCATTAGCTTCTCTGCATTTATTTTTTTCATTTACTCCTGCATAAAGGAGAAGGTAAATGAAATATTTTGCTGCTCTCTTCATGCAGCCCACTGTGAATAAGAGCCCTCCTCTACATTCCTGCCTCTGCAGCCTTCCCAAACTTGATCATGCCTCAGCGTGGCCTTTACGAGCAAAGAGAAGAGCCACCGTTGACTGAAGGAGGCAGAAGTTCGGTGCTAGCTACAAGACACAAGCACTTAGCTCCGAGCACGGGGAAGGGTCTTACCTCTCACAGAAGGTGTGCAGGCAGGGAAGCACTTTGGGGTTCTTGTAGCGGTCCAGGCATATGCTGCAGATCAGAAACTGCTTGTCGATCTGGCGGACCACAGGGCTTGGGATGCTCGAGCCTTCACTGGCCATCCTAGACCACTGACATGTGGGTCCTGTTCCCTTCTACCCTGCACACTGCTGCAGTGGGGGGAAGGGGAAAAAGAACAAGAGAAACAGCTTATAAGCTCCACGAAATAACAACATCAATAACCAGCTCACTTGTGTTTCATCCTGATGCAGGAATCCATATTTCTGTATAAAACCAAAACTGCGGAGAATTAAACTTTAAATATGTTATGTCACTGTAGAGAGCCTGGGAAACAGTCAACAACACCATACATAACACCTCCTTCTGAGCACATGTTCTGGGAAGACATGCTGCTTTTGGACTGCAAGCGACACAGTGGTCCCATTTTAAAGACATCCCCTGAAAAAAAGAAAGAAAAGGCAATATTCCTGCAATGGGGGGTTCCGTCAGTGCTAACAAGCACAGGGTTTCCTTAGTCTGTAACACAGTTGGCAAAATGCTTAAGCTGGAGCTGCACCAGGCCCTGCCAGGCRGCTGTGTCACAGGGAGGCTGGGAGCGCTTCACTTAACACTTTTTCCTTATCAGTGCAGGTGGAGGCAAACATATAGGAGGTTTGGACTCTAGCAAACTCCCCAAATTAAAGTTTCAGAAGGAACTGGTCCCCAGGAAGGGAGTGCTCCAAATTTACATGCTGGGCAAAATTTGTTTCATTTTGGAAACAAAAATTTCCTTTTTGGAAAAAAAAAATATATATATATATATAAAAAAGATTAAGATGGATGACAGTCATGTTAAAATGCAATGCTTGCACATGAACCTAAAATGTGTTATTTCAGAATTAATCACTTGTTTCATTCATTTCATGTGCCCTAGTAAGGTAAATCCTGTTAATATTACATCCAAATAAATGAACCTTTTTAAGTGCCATAAATCATACCCTGAAATCCTAGGAGATCAATTACAAAGCTACGTTGCTTTGCTCAAGGTAAAAGTGTTTTTTTTTTTTTTTTTTTTTTAACATAAAATGTATAAAAATCCAGCTTTTGCAGATGGGAGTGAAAAAAGCAGAGCACCAACCAGGCACTAACGTACCCCTTGATCAGCAATGCAACATGGAGATGTCTAGTGATGGATTTCAATAGAAAACTGATGTCAGTGTCGATTCAGCTCTCCTCGCCTCACACTGCCGGGGAGGAGAGGGGGCGAGTGTCCAAGCAAACAAAAGAGAAGGAGCAGAAGCAGGAAGGCTTCTTGTCAAAAGCAGCGTTTCCAAACCGGGCACAGATGGGCTATGGGTTATGACCAGTATGATTTTTGGTGCAGATGGAGCGTAGCCTATTAAAAACAAAGAAATTGTACCTAAGGAAATGAAAAAGAGCTTTTTGGTGAGGGCTGCCTGTCACTAAGAGGACAAAGTTCTCTCGTAATCAAGTAGAGGGTTCTCTGTCGTTTCACCCCTCTGCCATGAAGAACAGTCACGCAAGCAAACAGCATTTATACCAGAAAAAATCCTGTCCTTTACATCCCCCTACTCTCACAGTGAAAAYGAGGCGATTCCTAGTGTTCCATGTGCAGGGCTCATCCCAGCCATTTTGATCTCCGAATGTTCACGCTGCCTGCCAGGACAACCCCCGCTTTGCGGGAGCTCGGAAGCAAGCGCCGCTAATACGTGCTGTTCCGCCTGGAGCRCAGCAGGCCAGGCCTGTCGTTCACCCCGTGCACACACAAACCACACCTGACACACGCACCTGAAAGCAGCACTTGGTCTGCACCCTTCAAGCTTCGCCCCCGYGAGGTATAACAACCCCCTAAGCTTAAATGGCCCCTCAAATGGGTCATTTTGGGGCCCAGACGCCTCATTCTGTGGCCTCACCCTGCCAGGTCCAGCTCTGCCCAGCGGGATGTGGCCAGGGAGGGAGGATTTGGCCCCGTGTCTCAGTGCAGGCAGCTACATAACCGAAGGCTGCAGGGCAGTGTCGGTCTCCAGATTGTCCTTCTGCATCTGGTGAAGATGGAAAGGGAGCTGATTTGGTGCGGTGGCAGCAGCTTGCCCTCAAAGCAGCAGCTTAAGTTTCTGAGGTGCTGGCAGTGGGAGAYTTGGCAAAATAATAGTGTGTTTACAAGAAAAATATTCTTTTATGTGGTAACATCTTCTAATCTCAGAAGGTGCTGGAGGTTTTTTTGCGAGGTTTGTTTCATCTCACAGTGCGATAAAAGGCAGCCAAAGCTCTGCTTCTCAGACCTTGCTTGCCTCCAAATCTCCATACGCTTGCACTTCCCAATTTAAACAGGCAAAGCCAAGGATTTAYGGAGCACTGCAGCAAACGAAACAAAACCCCACCCATTTATCTCAAAACCCAGCTCAGGTTTCCACATCAAGGGCGGAAAAGGGCTCCCGAAAGGGCCACCCATTGTCACCCACCCAAAGTCCTAACGTGGGCATCCCTGCAGCAGTCCTCAAAATTACATCATTCCTTGTGCTTGGGAATCCGCCTATGGACTCTCACTCGCCGTGTCCTGCACAGCAAGGCAGGGAGAAACAATGGCCCCGGAGGTGCCGTGAGGCTTCGCCCTGCGGAGCCTGCCTGCCTTCCCGAGGGAATGGCATGGCCGGCCCCACCCTGAAGGGCCAAACTGCCCAGCCATTCCCAAAAGGAAAAAATGCCCGTGTCATTCCAGAAGAGGTGCCTTAAACAAACAGAGCCACTAAATAGAAAAGCGACTCCCTTCCACAATTCTCATTAAATAAGCACTGCAATTTGTTAACAGGAATCGAGCTTTGTATGAGATTCTAGGGATGGGCTGAGAAAAAGACACAGGGAAAGTGCGCGGCCGCCCGCTGAATTCCCAGGATTTATTCCCAGGACTGATTCCCGGGAAAGCAGGCAGCCGGAGCGGGCCCAACTGCAGCGGCAGGTTGCGGCCGGGACTTGGGAGCCGCTGGCTCCATTCACCCAGGATGAATGAGCCGGTCTCCACGGGCAACGCTTGCATGGGAAGCGCCRGCAGGGGCCGGGAAAGGCTGGAGGCTGCGCAGCACCGCGGCAGTGCCGGCACTGGCTGCACAGGGATGCAAGCCAGGTTACGGCACCAGCTGCACAGGAATGCGAGCCRGGTTACAGCACCGGCTCCACAGGGATGCGAGCGGAGCCGGCACAGAGCACCCAGCACACTGAGGGTGCCCGGCTGCTGCCGGAGGCATCGCCACCCTCTCCATCCTTACGGCATGCAGAATCATAAGCAATTACCGGGGACAAAACAGAAGGTGCAACCCAGCTGCAGCAGCCACCAGGCACAAACACCACCCAGCAAACTCGAGCGTTTAGACCTACCCATCTCTGCAGATAAGCAGCTTAATCAATGCAGCGGTGAGGGACGGAGCCGCCGTTCCGCAGTAATCCGGGCGAACAAAACATCATCCGTTAGCATTTCAGGCTCGAGAGCCTCACGCGTAAAACCCTCTCCGGGTCCCTGTCACGGCACGGTCACCACTGCACGCACGGCAGCTTTGGTGCTCCAGGGAGCGACGATGCTCCATCCCACGCCGAGCACAGGTGGGAAGCCCAACGGAAGAGCGAGCGGAGGCCTAGCTGAGGCGTCACCAATAATGTTTCCCCCGGGTCACTGAGGAGCGGGAGCCCCCCCGAGCGCTCTTCACAGCACTCCTCGCTTAGCGCATCTTTTCCCACCCGGCGCCTCGGGAAGACTGCAGCGAGGCGGGCAAGGCATTGTGGGATGGGGATGCAGCAGCGGCAGGAGCGCGCGGCGCCGGGATTCGCCGCCTCCCCTCCCTGCCCAGGCCGCTGCCGGCGGCGCGCAGCGCGGCCCGGACGCTGCCACTGCCGCTCGGGAACAGGGAGCCAGCCCGGGAAGGCGGCACAAGCGGGACGGCCGCGGGGCGCAGGCGGCAGCGCTCGCCTTGCTGAGGGGCAAAGCTGCGGACCTGCTCATCCCACCCGCACTCTGCCCGCCTTCAGGACACAGTGAAACAACAACTCGCCTCCGCTGCAGCGCTGGGCAGCAACAAAAGCCCCGAGCAGGCAACAAGCGCCCTGAGCAGGCAGCCTTTGTGTCTCCAGCTGTTTGAAGCAGAAGCAGAGACCCCCCTGGTGCGAGCTGTGCTGCCCCCACGCAGCCCAGCACGTACTGACCACAACCCGGGCACGCACTGAAGGCGGCAGTGCTTTAAATCCCTCACGTCCAAGGGGCAAGGGCATCAGCACCAAGAGCTGCCGAACTTCTGCACAGGCASCCACACCAAGCTGTGTGCTGCGAGTTACCCTGCTTCTGCACGAGAAAACACCACCACCGCCAGAGATCAGCCCAGGTATTACTAGGCTTTTACCAAGGAAATGAAAGTTTCATTTCAGGGGTGTTTTTCAGATCCAAAGAAAAGGTTATTAAAAGGCTGCAGGGGAGTGCACAGGAACTACTGAAGCAAAGCAATACAAAATTGGCTTTGTCCTGCAGTACAACAGCTGGTGTTTTTGAAGACAAGGTAGTATTTGCATCTCTAAATATAGTGAATCTGTGGGGTTTTTTTTCCTTTCCTGAAGAAAACAAATCACATGCAAGTATTCCAACTATCTGAGGCTAACAAAGCTTCTCACAAATAAAAGGACACAAAGGTCTATTTGCATTAAGTTAGAAAATGCTGGATTTAAATACAAGCTCTGCTAATCTGACTCAGAACAACTAGAGTTATTTTGAAATCACAGTTTGAGATAAAGTTTTAAGTTCTTTAAACACAGTTTCTAAAATGCATTTCTCCATTCTCAGACTGAGCAGGCAAATCRTGTTAATAATCATTTAGCAAGAGGGAAATTTAATCCAAGACCCTGTTAAAAACATAGATTCTCCATACAGCATTCCCATTTCACTTGCAACCGTTCAGATTGGTTTCAAACCCCACGCGGTTCCAGGCTGCCTTCTCCAGCTCACGGGTCTACAACACACCATAAGCCGGTTTACAAGATGAGGTGAAACATGAGGGTGGGTGTTCATGTGTGGGTACGCCAACGCGGCTGCCGTTTCCTTCGGCGCGTGCCGCGCTCGGGGCGTTTCTTGCTTCGCCCCGCACGCAGCCGGTCAGGAGAGCAGCAATCCGCA